TTAGGGGCAAAGAGCCCAATTTTTCCTTCTTCTCTCCCCATTCTCGGCCCAATGCATGAGCCCAGGAGGAAAGGAAGCATGTTGACTTGTGAGTGACACCTCACTATTATCTAATGGATTTCTAGGCACATATCACATACCTCCATGCATGTATCACTTCAAATATCACTTCCTCTCTTCTCTCTTCCCACTCTCGGCCAAATCCCCTCTCACACACACCAAAAATATCTCAACTTCTCTCTAGAACACTCAAGAACTCTCCTTCCTCCCCTCTCCAAAAATCTCGAAAATTAGGGACTTTCCAAGAGGATTTTGCAAGTAAATCATCATCTAAGGTAAGATTATGCATAGATCTATGGTTTAAATTCTTTTGTTATCAAAATCCTTTCCTAATCTATGCAAAAATCGTGATCTTGCACCCTAGAACCATCTCAAAACTCGAGATCTTCATCAAAGGGAGCCAAGGCCAAAAACACTTCATTTTTCCTTCCATTTTCCTTGCAAAACCGAATCAACACCCCAAGGTGAGCTTCATACCCCCTATTTTCTGTTTTTATGAGTTTTGTGGGGGGGGAATACAAGTGAAAGTGTAGATCTATATGTGTTTGTATGCCTTGTATGATTTCCATGCTTATATGTATGCTTTTATGTGTTTTTATGTTGGATCTAGCCTCAAAACTCATCAAAACCGAGATATAACTTGTGCTACATGATTTTAACTTCAAATATATTTCTAAACACAAAGTGCTTCAAGAAAAATTGGCTAAGTAGTTTAGCAATAATTTCTTTGGGTTAAAAACACAAATTTTGGGCCTAAAATGTGAAAAATGCAAAAATAAGGGCCCAAATCGACATGTCACAGATTCTGATGGATGAAGTGTGCCAAAACAGTTTTCATAAATAAATTTCTGGAAATATACTCATTTAGGGGACTAAAAACATAAATTTTAAGCTTAATGGGTTAAAAATGTAACTTTCGGCCCAATAAGGCCCATTATGCGAATTTTTCTGTTTTGGAGGGCCAAAACTGTAACTTTCTGTAAAACAGTGGACTATAAGTGTTCCAACTCCTTTTCAAAGGTTTAAAATGCTTTTTAAATTTAAAAAGGACCAAAGTTGCAAAAATTTTCCAAATTGGGCCAAAATTGTAAAAATTGCGAAAAGAAGGGGTTAAAACCGTGAAAACTGCATTTTCAAGGACTTAAACTGTTTTTATGAAAAATATGTTGAAAAATATTAATTTCAATAATTTTTGGTGTTAAAATGTCAAGAAAAATAGTTTAAGGACTAAACCGGGAAGTATTGAATATAAAGGGTTGAAAATGTAAATTTTACAAATGATGAGGGGCTGAAAACAGGAATATTTCAAGGCTAGTTCAATATACCCAATTTGATCAAATGATGGCACCACGACTATCAACGGAATACAATACATTACAATACCAAAAGTCGTTGTTAAACGAATTGGCTCGGTCTCGAGCCAATAGAAATCTACAACTACTAACACTACGACACTACAATTCATACAAGTAACGTTTGGTTATACATACACATGCGAGTGTGCACAGACGTCTATGCACCATCTTTGGGCCCCACAAGTGTAAAATCTTGTTCGTTGAGCCTAGCTAGCCCAATGACCTGATCTTAAGGCCCGAAGACATTTTTTTTACGGAGTGTTGGGTTTTACCGATCCGACACAACGTAAATGGACTTTCAATGGCTTGTATACCACCGGTCCCCAAGGGTCCTTTGGTCTTGCTAGTAAGGTCTACATTTCATGCGAGGCGGGTCTGGGACCCCTCGTACATTTTATCCCCAACCGGCTAATGGAGTTACCGGGGTCTTCGTGACCTCTTTCTCTTCGGATGTGGGACTTCACCTAGTCAGGGCGATTGGATAACGCGATTAGTATTGACGACGCCTTCGGAGTCGTTAGTATAACTATAAACTGGGCGTTTGTGTAACGCGGGTTTGTAGTAAATAATCCTGCTCGAAAACCTTCCAACGTCGCCTGGGACTGACACTATATGCTATGCAATGGTTTCAATGTAACATCACGTAATTCAAGGAACTAGGAGAACATCGGGTTTTCCTAGGGTTTTCAATACGAACTGATTTGAAATGCATACATTTTCAATGAACATTTTTTTTACAAGTATAGAAACGAACAAGCATACCTATGGATCTTCACAAACGTTTTCGAAAACTTATCTTTTCAGAAAATATCGGGTTTTCTGGTGGTTTATCAAACAATACAAACATTCGATTTCAAACACTACTTAAGAACTCACCAACATTTCATATGTTGACGTTTTTCAAAATACTTGTATTCTCAGGGAGCCAGTGAATCAAGGGAAATCATATCCAGTGACGGTTGCGGTTTATTTTTGTATGAATTAAACAACTTAATTTTTGGGGAATGTAATGTTTAAACAATGTATGTTATGTAAACACTACTGGTTGTACTATGTTGATGAATGGTGACGAATGTTGTTATGTTTCATATATATTCAATGTTATGGTATTCAATTGAGTCACGACAGCCCCCGGACGTTTCCGCCGTCTGGTTCGGGGGTGTGACAATAAGAATTCCAACTACCCAAGTCTAGCATTTGGAGGACCAGTAGTAGAACCTGCTCCATTGACCCTACAGATTACAAATGGTCGCCAGGGCAAGCCAGGTGCGCCTATTGGGCCATTAGAATTTAAGTCTTTTGGGATAAGAATGTTTTTGAACCTTAGATTCAAGCCCATGTAAGGGATTTGGGCCTAATTTGGAAAATTGGGCCATGGTTGGGCCTTGTATGATTTTTTATGGGTAATTGGGCCTTTTTGGATTATTAGGTCTGGGCTTAGGTCTTAGTCCAAACTGAAGGGTTTTAGTATACTACAACATCCTATGGTGCACATATAACCCTAAATGCTTTGGATCTATGTTTTCTCTAATTGTACATGCAATATTGTTTCCAAAGCATTAAGCCTACAACTAGCATGGAAATGACATAATCAACATAAAAGAGAGTTATATAATTACCTCTTTGTTGTAGCTAGTAGAACTTAATGAGTTTGGACTTTAAGAACTTAGTGCCCCAAGTGTTGCACCTTAAATGGAATCACAACACACCTAGGACAAATGATGACTTTTGTGAGAATATCCTAACACCAAAATCGGCTCAATGATCTCCAAGAACACTAGTGTGTCTTTTGGATGCTAAGGGGCTTCTTATATAGTGTGGCAAGATTACGGTTACACCATGTAAACCCTAATGTGTATGACCTTCCATATTCCTTAGGCTCCATGGTTTTAAACCCCTATGGATCATCCATGGGTTGTAACATCGGTTTAGCCCAACCTAAAGAATCATGGATCATTGGCCCACATCATAAGAATGAATGATTTACCAATCAACCCCTTATATTTAATTAGTCTTTTCTAATCACAAAATTAATTCTAAATTAATTATTGATCAATACTAATTAAATAATATGATTTCATATTAATATATTAGAACTTATAATATATTAACAAATCATAAATAACCTTTTATCAAAAGTCCATCCTATCAAATTATCCTGGTGATATGCAACCCAAATAGACCATGCTACTCTCGGTTCAAGTACATATCAATTATAGTTATGAGCTTAGACACTTAATCCAACAGTCTCCTACTTGGATAAGTGTAATAACTATTATTGCAAGTACGACTCTACAACCTGACTAAAAATCATAGCTCTTAAAAGCCACTGTCAAACTCTGACCTAGTCAATGACGCGTTCATTAGATAAGAGATCATATATTCCTCCATTCTGGATATCATATGGACATGAGACATGGATTAAAATTATTCTCTTTGTCCATCTGTTGTTTCCCAATTTCTGATTTATGACGACCAACTAATTGAACAAATCAAATCAGTCCAGGCTTGGCCAAACACTTATGTTTGTTATCACTAAATCATCGAGGGGTCCACATATATCGTCCGCCTCTTTGCGCGGGTAGAGGGCTAGTGTGTATGTGTATATATATATATATATATATATATATATATATATATATATATATATATATATATATATATATATATATATATTTTTGGCTATTTTTAACTAAAATATTAAGAATTTTGGTTATTTTAATAAATTTCTCTTTATTTATTTATTTGTTATCAGCCTTTATCTTAAGATTATTTCAAAGTTTGTGAAACTTTTCTGAGTGTTCGATAAATGTAGGATGCACGGTTATACTTACCTTTTCTTTTTCCATATACAACTATCTTATATCTTTTAATAGCATACGTAACAAATTAAGTTTAGATATAGAACTAAATGTATTTTCTAAACAACAAATGAATCTAATTTCCGCTTCTTCATTCCATTTTTCCACATTTATAACATGCACTTGAACTTGATAAAATACCACACATGAGTTTTTACATATAAAGTAGACAAAGTTGCAAGAATGGTCCCTATGGTTAGGTCGAAATTATCATTTTGGACCAATTAGGTTTGGACTAGCACTCATGGTCCAAAGGTTTTCATTTTCTTACCACTTTGATCCAATTTACTTTAAATTTTTTAATAATGATCATTTTGCCCTTTCTTTTTATTTTTTCAGTTTTTTTATTATTTCTTCAAATACTTCTATTAAAAGAAAAAGAAAAACAAAAATACATTTCTCTTTCTCTCTCTCTCTCTCTCTCTCTCTCTCTCTCTCTCTCTCTCTCTCTCTCTCTCTCTTTGCTAAAGATTTTCAGGAATTACGCTCTCTTCAATTTTCTCTTCATTTTTACAAGATTCTTCATCTTCATCTTCCTCATTGTTTTTCTCATATTTGGTTCCCATAATTGATTCGTGAGAGCTTCCATCTTCATAGGATCATATCTACACCTCATCAATAACAAAGCATTTTTAGGTGGTACATAAGTGCTCACCCTAGCTTAATCGATTGTCCCAAAGACGCTGTCGTTTGCAATCTCCAAGTCTTGAAATACATGTCTTCTTTAATTCATAATACCCATCTCATCAATTTCCTCATTCTCATCATCATCGTCTCCGGCGATTAACTCAACCACTCTCTCACCACCACCACCGGCATCTCTTCCACTTCCATCACCTCCCTGCAATGCCACCAACCACCATGCAGACACCGCACCACAAGACCCCTGTCTATTTTCCCCAACCATTTTTTCCTCTTTCTCTATCGCCGTCATTGAAGAACACGAAGACCGGTAAGGAAACAAATAGCTTACCTCAGACCCAAACGCTCTTAAACCATCACAAATCGTCAATGGTAAATGAACCCATCTCTGATTATTCATTTACAATGGTAAACACTCTTGATTAGAACCAAGATTTTGACTTTGACTACCAAACCCATTACCGGAATGCTCGAATCTCCTGAAACTAACTTCGTCGGTGCTCTGTCGTCTCGATAAACTCAGATTTTTTCGTGTGCTTCTTCTTGCTCTTCATCCTAACCTGACCAATGCAGGTAACTTTAGGAGAAGACGGTTTAGGGTTTTCGAAACTGCTTCCTCTTTTTTTACCGATGGTAGGGAACATTGCGGGAGACGCGCTGCCTTTAATGCTACGATTATTTCTGAGCCTACGGTTGTGCGAGTTTGAGAGGGAAAACGGTGGTGGGTCACAAGCAGCCCCAACCCTGGCTGGACTAAGGAATGATCTGGATGAGATCTTCATAGAGGATGAAGATGTGTGAAGCAGACGAAGTGTTGGATAGATTTAGCAGCGATGATGGTGGTCTACCATAAGGAGAGAGAGAGAGAGAGAGAGAGAGAGAGAGAGAGAGAGAGAGAGAGAGAGAGAGAGAGATGTATTTTTTTTAATAAAAGTATTTGAATAAATAATAAAAAAACTGAAAAAATAAAAAGGGCAAAATGGTCGTTATTAAAAAATTTAAAGTAAATTGGAGCAAAGTTGTAAGAAAATGAAAACCTTTGGACCATGAATGCTAGTCCAAACCTGTTTAACTTAAAATAACAATTTCGATCTAACCACAGGGACCATTCTTGCAATTTTGTCTATAAAGTACTAACTAGCCTAATAAATAGAATCCGAGAATGTTAATTAGTTAAGACGATTTTTAAAAATCCTTTGATTAAGTCAAATAATTGAATCAAATTCTAACACAGTCAAACTGTTTTAGACCAAGAAAAGGACGCAAAAATAAAAAATAATAATAAAAAATAAAAAATAAAAAAATAAAAAAATCAAAGATTTCTAAATATGATACAAAACAATCTAAATATTACCAAATAAATCATTCTTAATCTATTTAAAAGACAATTCAAATAACCCCTAAACCTCTCCATTCACAAAATTATGGAAACTAAAGCATGGAATTTCCACAAAATTAGTTATTGGATTATAAAGTGGATTCACAATAGAAAAATCTCATAATATTTACAAATTTCGTTTTTTATATTAATTTAATTAACATACTTTCCATAATATCCATTAGTTTTTATTTATGGAAACTTTCCAATATTGGAAACTTTTTATTAACCTTAGAGAAACAACGGGCAACTTTAGTGTTTCTCACGAATTCATTAACCATTTCACCTCACAAATTTCCTACACAACACGAATCTCACGCGGGTCGGGTCATCATATCATCTTCTTGACCCGATAATTTGACCACTATAAATACCTCCAACAACACCTCAATAAAAATCATCGAATAAAACACACACACAGTGGGTTAATAAATCCATATCATTTCTTTCCACAGTGCTTACATAGCTATTTAGCGATCTTGCTTTAGATCTTCTTCAGACCTGAGGCAAGATCACTTCATAGTTATTAAGCGACCTCCGCCGTCCGCTAACTACCACCACCACCTTCGCCACCATGGCGATGATAAAAAAAGATGTCTCCTTCAAATTACTCCGATCTGCTGTCCACCGTGTTAATGCCGCTTCACCTTCAAGATGCCATCAAGCTCAAAGAGCTACAACCAACGCCACCACCACCATTGTTTCACAAGCCCCACAACATCTTACCGCCGCTGTCGCCGGAAAAGATGGTGACAACATATTCAACTTTGACGACACGAAAACTTTGTTTGCCTCGGTTCCAACAGGGAAACTGTTGCATTCTGCGGCGACGTTGAACGTCGCGGCGGTGGAACCCATGGTGGATTTGAGTCTCTGGGTTATGAATTCAAAGTTGATGTATGTTCCATTGTTTAAAAAAGTTGTGATGGGGACGATTAAGTATACGGCGTATGATCATTTCGTGGCCGGCGGCGATACGGTTGAAACCGGTCAGACTGTTCGGAGGTTGTGGAATTCCGGTGTAAGAGGAATGTTGGATTATGGGGTTGAACATGCGGTTGATAACGAATCTTGTGATAAAGCTGCTCAACACTTGATCAAAACCGCTGAATCCACCCAATCTCTTCCTCCATCGTCTGTAAGTTTCTTTTTGATTGAAAAAGATGAAACTTTTGTTCGATTTTGATGTTTTTCTGAAGAACCCAGAATGGATATGAACTAAATTTGGACAAAAAACAGGTTGGATTTGTGGCAGTGAAGGTTACAGCACTCTGCCCAGTGTATCTGCTCAAGAGATTGAGCGATCTTCTTCGATGGGAGCACAAGAACTCATCTTTCAAGCTTCCATGGAAGCAACAAACTTTACCGATATTCTCTGAAACAAGCCCCTTCTACCACACATTACAACAACCAGCACCATTGAATGGTGAAGAAGAAGATGACCTCGAATTAGCCCAAAAACGATTAATGAAGGTTTGTGAGAAAGCTTTTGAAGCGAACGTTCGCATTGTAATCGACGCTGAAGACACTGCAATTCAGCCTGCAATTGATTACTTAACATACTGGGCTGCGATTAAATACAACGAATCACAACGACCGATGGTTTATGGCACCATTCAAGCTTTCATGAAGGACGCCGGCGAGAGGATCACGATGACGAAGATCGCCGCCGATAAAATGAACTTGCCTGCCGGATTTAAGATTGTTCGTGGAGCATATATGTCGAGTGAAAGAGAGTTGGCTAACTCGTTGGGTGTTGAGTCTCCGATTCATGACACCATTGAAAACACACACGCATGTTACAATCGTTGTGCTGCGTTTATGCTTGATCAGATTTCAAAGCGTCCCGGAGGACTCATTCTCGCCACCCATAATCTCAATTCAGGTAAAAGATTTCATTTCCCATTTGTGAAAATCATGAAACTAAACGAGATTCTGAATAAAATCGATGAACAATAACAGCAAGTTTAGCTGCAAAAAAGGCTCGTGAATATGCGATCGGAAAAGACAGCGGGAAGCTTGAGTTTGCTTCGTTGTATGGAATGGCGGATGCGATGACTTTTGCTTTGAGGAACGCCGGATTCCCTGTGAGCAAGTATTTGCCGTTCGGACCTGTTGATCAAATCATGCCGTATCTTCTCCGGCGAGCGGAGGAGAACAAAGGGATGTTGTCTTCCTCGGCTCTTGACAGAAAACTCATGATGTAAGAATAAGAAATCATGTATCGGTTTAAAAAGTTGTGTTTTGAATGATTTGATTTTGATGATGATTTGATTGTTGTGTTGACAGGAAGGAGTTGAAGAGGAGGATGAAAGCTTATTTCACCGAAAAAGAGACACAACACAAAGCTCGCGCAAACTCCATGGCTAACTGAAGAAGAATTCGGAAGTTCTTGGATTGATGAAGCCCCTTTTGGCTTATAACAACTCACAAATGTAACTAAGAATGTATAGTTGAAAAAAATGTATAGAGGGTGAATTTATTTTATTTGTTTGCAATTTCTCTTTGATGTATATTTACATTTATTTGGTATTTGGAGAAATATATACATATTTATATATATTTAAAATCAAATAATATTGAGAATTTATTTATTAATAATTGGCTTTTTTGTTGAAGTATAAAGTTATAACATCTAAATTGCTCTTCTAGTATAAATATGAAATCAAGGGTTGTTTTTATTATTTATTATTGATATATGGTAAATTAAAAATTAATGAATGAGTGCTCAAAAAATGTATTTTATGAAAATAATCTTTGATCAAAATTTGCATGTTAAATAAATATATTTCTTATTCCTATAAAATATATTTTACATGTTAAAAGGGTAGAGAAAATGTCATTGTTGCCTAACAAACTTAATGGAATGTATGCGTGTAATGCTTTTCTTTTTTATATGTACCCATAAAGATTTGAACCAAATCGAAGGTACGTCTCTCGGTGTGTACACCTAGGGGTGTCAATTTATGGCACGACACGACAAAAATACACGAAACGAAACGAAATCGGGACGAAATCAAAATTCGAATTCGTATCCGTGACGTTTTCTTGTCAAGATTAAAAAACACGATGTCGTGTCGTGTCGTGTTCGTGTTCATAAATCGACACGAAATTGACACGATTAAGCATGTGGTTGTCGTGTTTTTCGTGTTTGTCGTTTTTGTCATGTTATATATATCTTTATATATGAATGAAATACATCAATAGTTATGTAATATTATATTTTTCATGTCGTGTTTTAATTGGTTCATTTTCGTGTTAATGAAAAAAAAAACATTGTGTCGTGTCGTGTTCGTGTTATAAAAAATCTTATCGTGCCGTGTCGTGTCAGACAAAAACACGACACGACTGCCCGATTTGACATCCCTATGTACACCTAAGTGCCAATGGTGGGGTTTGGGATTGCAAATATGACTGAACAACCTCAAGAATGTCATCATTATGTGAGGGTGTTAATTGTGCATACCCTAATCCTATGTGGTACCCTTGTTAAGGAATGTACCTCAATCCTCTATCGGGGAAAATCACCATATACAATTGCTAGGATGTATACCTTTGATAGGGGTCTACAAGTATCCCTACCATTGTTGGGGGAATCAAAAGGGTTATGGTGGAGGATTCATGATGGATCGCATAAGCTCATTTTCCGGGTTGAAATTATGCCCGGGTTGTAAGAAATCCAATCTAGAATAATCTAAAAGGACAGTTGTGAATCTAGACACATAAACACAAGCCAATTTGCACGAAGAGGTCTAAGTTTGTTATAGAAGATAGAGAGAGCTCATAAGAGGATCATATTGATCAAAAGATGAGTCGTGTATATACTTGACAGATTAGGGTTTTCATCTTCTAAATTAATTAATTGTATCACAACTTTAATGGCATAGTTAATTGTGACAACCTGCAAGCTTCTGGTCAAGTCAAAGTCAAGTCAAGGTCAACAAGTCAACCTGGTCAACTCAACTAGTGTGTATATGTTAGGGATTACTTTATGTTTACTAATGTGTAACTATAAATCCTAA